AACGACATTACTTATGGCTGTAATATATAATATATTAGGCTGAAGAAAAAGAGAAAGAAAGGAGAAGCATAGAACGAAATTTCAAGTAACAACGAGGAGACAAGTTTCTTTCTTTAACCAAGAGAGTGGAAAATCACACGCTCGGTACAATTAATGGGAGTGTTGCAACGGCAAGAGTGAAAATAATAAGCAGGCTCTCGTGCGCTGAAATCGGAAACAAAAGTTCCGATTGCCTGATCCGGCTCGATCCGTATACTTCGGCCGGTGCACTGGAGTTGACATATCGACAGAGAAACATATGATGAAGTAATATTTTCCCAAGTTGTATGTCGTTTCCTACGGCGACAGGGTTTCGTTCTTTTGTCGCCGTAGTTTCATTCCGCCTTCGTTCGTAGCGTTCCTTGTCTTAAGCGGCGAGCGCTTGCCTCGACGATATTACGATTTACCGCGTTTCCTTCTTCTTTTGCGATATAGAACTTATATTGTTTAAATTGACTGTCACTGTTATTACTCCTTTACCTCCCACCGCCTCCCCGTGTTCGACGTATTTGAACCCTGGCTTTACATAACTCGTGGGCATCTCGCGAGCTTTTCTCTCTTTTTTTTGTTTTTTTTTTTTTCTTTTCTTCTTCTTAAACACGAGTGGAAAGTTAAGAAATTTTACGTTCGTTTTGCACGCGATCGAAAATTTTATTTCTATATCGAAAACCTTGTCGCTCGTCCGCCGAAATCCGGCGCGAATTTCCAATCGAACGAGGAACCCCGTTATTCCTACCATCATTTTTCTTCAGCATTCAGTCGATTGAGCAACACTAAATGAATTCCTTTCGAGAAAGCGGGAAACTCCTTTCAATTGTTCTTTCCAATATCGTGTTTACCTCGCTGCGAGACTACCGCCGCAGCGGATCCATAAATCTTCCGCGATTTTTAACTTTGGGGATTAAAACGGACGAAGAAAAAAGAAAGAAAGAAAGAGAGAGAGAGTAAGAGAGAGAGAAAGAGACAGGGAGACAGAAAGGAAAAAAGAAAGGAGGAGGAGAAAAGAGAGAGAACTA